TAATTTCTACTCATCTTAATTTTGAAAACTAGTGGCATTCACTGAGAATTTCTATTCATCATCATCTTAGCAAAACACTTACACGAAAATCATCACCATTTTAAGTCAGAGCAATAATTTTAAGCCGTTCTCTTCTATTCTACTCTGTCAGTCTTAATTTCATCGCTTAAGAGTAAACACCCAGTAAACAAAAAAGTAGTATTCGAATTAGTTCTCATTATTTAGTAATTCCTTCGTCACAGCTCGAAGAGTACCTAAGACAGAACACAATTAGTTGAATACAGTTATTTTGCATTTTTTAACAATCCGGCATCATCTTCAGCTATTGGTCAACTATGCTTCTTCATAATAAACGACAAATAAGACCTTTAGAAACGATATTAAAATTGCACACATATTAAATCATGGCTAAAATAAATATAATGAGATTTCAAACATGGCGTTCAAATCTGCAAGGCTAACCGTCTATAAACTTATCCTATTGTCACAAAAGCCTATATTTCAAGTAATATCTAAAGCGAAGACCCCTGTTGTGGACGTCAAACAATAATTTTAGTTCCCCAATAAAAACGAAGTAACAAAAGTTTCATTTCCAAGTCGTGACAGCCCTTGCCGGCGTCCTAGCAACACGGTTCACCGAGGACACTGCCCCGCGACGAACGAACTCACCAACATTAATATTCTTTTTAGTTCTACTCTAACTAGAAAGCAGAAAGTTTAATTTTGCTTGAGAAAAGCACTTGAGTAAAATTGCATCGGTCTATGCATTCCATTTAGTAGTATTGTAGGTATATAGTCCTTTTGCGATGAAAATAAGGTTGATTATTGCTTGCGTATGTCCAGTTAATGTCAGATCTTTACTGTCAAGATCCTGTGGCGTGTTACTATGGGTTGTCGAACAAAAATAGACAAAGAATTTAATGTTCTTTCGAGTGTAAAGAAGGCTTTTCTTTTTTCAATTTTTTTTTAAAATGAATAATCGTATAGTATTCTCGATCGGAGCATAATTTTACGTTGGAATAAAAAAGAAATTAGTAATTTCAGGTGGAGTATAATTTTTTTATAATATTACCAGCAGTGAACGCTATATCAAGACTTACGTGAAAAAAATAACTCTTTAGGTTTAGGCTTTTTATAAAGTACGGTTTCAAGACAACACACCCTTATATCTTGATTTATTTGCTATTATAATTTTAACAGAAAACGGCTTAGGAATGAACAGCCTACTAAAACTTCTGAAAATCTTCTATTGGAGTGGGTTTTACCAAAATTTAAAGTACCATGTTGATAACTTCTTGTGTATCTTATCTACATACAGCTATGTATTTTTTATTATCATCTTCACATATTTTTACATTTTCCCGCCTGTACAAGATGACACATACCTAGGCTTTGGAGGAGAGCTCTAAAGGAGTAGCGCGTTGTATACAGTCACCAATATTTCTAAAAATATATTTATTTTAATCCTTAATGGTCGAGGACGAGCCGGTTTCTGTTTAAACGAAAGCTTGTAACAGTGTTTGCTGCTTATATAAAAATTATACAACAATTTATTTAACACAAAAGTAGAATCCTACATCATGACACCAATTAGTCGGATTCCCCTCAGCAGACATACGACTCTGCTTAGTTAATTGTTAGTTTATGTGGCGACATCCAAGTACAGGAAAAAACATACTGATGCGATTACATCCACATACAGTGAAACATACTTCAATGTTATCTAAAGAAACCAAAACGAATCCTGCATCGCGCAATTAAAGTTTTATAGATTTTAGTAAAATATGCGACGGCATGATCACTTAGCATGGTCGGAGGATACTCACTTTATGTTTAAGGGCCATATCTCTCGTTTCTTTACAGTCTTCAGGAATATACATATAGTATTGCCTCAGATAGACTGAGGAGATCTCTACGAGTAGTAATAATAATTACTAAAACCGCGTATCATCAACCGCCTTTAATAGTTCACTGCTGGACATGGGTCTCTCCTTAGAGAGGAGGTTTTGGCCTACTATACCACGCTGGCCAAAAGGGTTGGTATGGGGTTTCTTTCAAGTTTTCCTTCTCTTCGCAGAGCTGTTGGCCTGCGTAGTTTGCTCCCTGTCGGTTTTGACGACACCTACGGGATAAGTAGGGTTGGTGACACTCCGTATTCTTAATCCGTCACCACTCGGATGTATTCAAAATATGTATGAAAATTAATGCAATACATATACACATACAGTCAAGCACTTTGTTATGTCACTTGTTGTGCCAATACTTTACACACTCACCGATAAACTATTCAATGATTAAAATAAGCATGTTTATTGACTGATATAAGAAACAAATATTGGCAGTATGCATAATCTAGTACATTCTACGACCGTGACCGGACAACCGAACGACAACGAACCGCGTATGCACACGTGGAACTCAAGACCCACAAGTGCGATGCGGCCCTTTGAGCCATTCCACCTGAATTAGAGGAGGTATTGGTCGGTAAAAATCAACGAAAAAATTCCTTAACACCAGTTTTCTGTAAGGCCCTGAAATCACTTCGGTAGTGTTTGCCAATTTGTACCGAAGCATTTCTCTCCCATAGATAATAGGTCTTTACTTGCACAGACCTTGCACCTATCGACTATTACTTTTTCCAAAATTTAGACAACTTTTTAGTGGGTAAAAAATTCAATTCCCGAGAGGCAGTACAAAATGCCTTTGAAGAGTTTGTTGCCTCCCGTCCAGCTGATTTTTACAAGAAGGGCATCAATAAACTGCCAATGCGTTGGCAAAGATGCGTCGATTGCATGGGTGATTACTTCGAATAACAGAAATAAAAAAGTTTGAAAAAATAAGTAGGTACTTTCACAGTGAAAGTACTTATTTTTTCAAACTTTTCACTTTTCACTTATTGCATACAAAACGGCAATTTCATAGGTAAAGACCTAATATTAACTATCCTATTTATTATAATCTCCTGTTATATACTGAACTCCTGGTGTAACATATGATGACGTAAAACTTTCTGCATTTGTCCCTTAGTACAAAAATAGATACACAAAGTTTTACGACGGATTAAGAAGATAGTAATAGTGTCATCATCATCATCAACAGCCTTTAATAGTCCACTGTTGGACATAATCCTCTCTTTAGAAAAGAGGTCAGTATTAATTAAGGGCCTATCAACATGGGCCATAGAACATTAGGAGAGGGAATGGCTCAAAACCCAAGTCCATAACTGGTGCTGCGAGTGTATTTAGTAGACATCGAATATATGTTTCTTGAAGTGGTGTTTGGCCATTTTCGCGATTCTAAATATTTTTACAGTTTCTCCTCTCTATGTCAATCGTTTTATTTTTCTTTACTTGCAATTGACGAGATGTTATAAAAAAAATAAAATGAAAAAGGTTTTTCCACCGCAGCTTTGCCTTACGTACAAAAAGCTTGCTTACGTAGTTAAAAAACAAAAATATAATCGAATTACGCACCTCTTTCGTATAAAAGCGAGTTAAAAAGGCAAACGCTTTCTAAGGATAAATAGATGCAGTTAATTATAATAAAACGAGAGGCTAGTGAATCTTCTCGCATATGTCGTAAAGTTGTCGAGAATCCTTAGTATAATGTCGAACTATCCTTTTTGCATTGTGTAGGGACGTGCCCTCCGTGATGGAGACTTGATTAATCTATATTAGTAGAGATATAAAGTAGTTGGTTATGTACGAGGTGAAATTGTGGTCCGAGTCATGAGATGATGCTGGTAAAGAGTACAGAGTTAATTAATACGCAATTTATACCAATATTATAAAGCTGAAGAGTTTATTTGTTTGGTTTAATGAGTTAATCTCAGGAATTAACGACTCGAATTGAAAGATTATTTTAATGTTGGATAGCCCATTTATCGAGGAAGGCTTTATTAAGCCGAGCATCAATGAAAATGTCGGATAAAAAAAATTCCTTTAAAAAAATCAGAGAACGTTATCCAAAATAATAAATCATACTAGATACTAGAGATTTCCGTCCGAATTTCAAACGCTTTGAATGTGTTGTTTTATTTCATTGACCATTGAGACTTGAACTGCACGGGTGGCGTAGTGGTTAAAGCGGTCACCTCGCGGCTTCCTACTGCGCTGAGTGGTGTGGGTCCTATCCCCACATGGAAAGACACTGTGTATGATCCACAAATTGTTGTTCTGAGTCTGGGTGTTCTTTGTGTTCGATTCATGTATGTTTGTAAAAGTCTCCCGCAACACAGGATATAATCCTAATGCGGGAATTGTCTTTTTTAAGAAATAAAAACAAACTGTACTGTATTTTGCAGACTTTTGATAGGTCAAAATATATACTGGACCATTTTATATTTATTACAGGTATATTATTCAAAACTTGAGCTCTGGGCACTTATTCTACGTGTAAACATTAAGCATTTGAAATATAATATGTATCCTTGCGTCATATTTGTTTAAAAGGAATCCAAAGATCAAAGCAAAGCTACAAGTTTACTTTTATAATCGCTACAGCTTATCTCTTAACCCAGACGATTCATTACATCGTTGGTCTATAAAACCAAAGTGGCTGTCCGTCCGTCCGTACTAAAAGGCAGCTTTAGAACCTCATAGCTATCTACTGCCTTTTGTGTGCTAATTATATTTTGTCACAAAGTTCAATTGGAGTATAAATCGTTATAAATATGTGGTTTAGGCATCGTAAACTTCTAAAGCAGAAATGGTTTCCTGATCAGATTAATCTTTCGGCTTTATTAGATTAGGTACGTTGCTCGGGGAGCTTGTGCAGTCTCGTTATAAGAATCGACTAATTATATACTTATATACCATTTAGTTACTTTAGTAATTTTAATATCGATCAAGTATTGTAAGCTTTAAATGGAATAGCTATCAGGCGAAATTTAGTATTGTGCAGTGACTTGAAGTAATTCATTTGATTAATTCGAAAAGTTGCTAGTTAAAACTGATATTGGTGTGCAAATGTAGACGTCTAACGACTATTCGTCATCATCGTCATTCATCACCACACGTTAATCCTCGTTTAGCCTTATCATTAATGTAACGTCTCCATAATATAAAAGGTTTATTGTTCCTGTGAGTTGCACTGTCCTTTCTCTGATTTTTTTGGACGAAGCATACAGCTATTACCTAAAAAAATGATTATCATAAAAATTTCGTACACGTGTATCACGGGTAGAAAAAGGACAGGCTTAGGGTATCTTTCATCCAGAGAAAAAATATGTTCTCAAAGGTCCAAAATATAACTTTTAGGAAACTAATTTATAAGTACTTACGTTCCCCTGCGGATCTATAAGCTGAGCGTATTTAGGCGCCTTCGCTTTGCTGCCATCGGCGAATACGCCGGCCAGGCGCAGCGGTGTTCCAGGCCGAGCGGCCGCACGCTCGTATTGCGCGCCCACTCGCCCGCTTTCTGTAGGACCAGGGGTTTATCTTAAATTTCAAATAGACATTTGGCCTAAAATTACCAATGGAAATATTAATAGGAAGAGTTCTCAGGAGAAGATCATAATGGGAATTTACATGATTACGTAGCAGGACCACGATGACTTAGTCAGCCTCTGACCACAGCCAGAGCACTCGACGTCAGGCAATAAAAAGTATGTAATTTGAATTTTTTAAACCAATAAGTAAACTAGAAGTGGTAAATTTGAGGAGTTACCAGAAGTCGGTCGCGCTCTGTATGCTGATAAAGCGCGTGGCGACACAAGGGCGAAGGCACGCGCCCGCAACAGTGCGGCGATGGATCCCCGCGCCGCCGCTAGCGCCCCACCTCTGCATCCGCAAGCTGAAAACCAACCTGGAACAAAAATATGTGTTATTTTATAAATGGCATAATGTTTGCTTTGCACGAATTAGAACTTGCTTAAGTACATACATACACCAACAACTATTACCCAACAAATGTAATAAAATAATTTTAAAATAAGTGTTTAAATATAGTCAGTCAAGTATATACTCGTAAGTCGTAAGATATCGTCATTTGAACACTATCAAGGGCAACGACTCAGAAAAGCTTCACAGAGGATACAGAAAACTAGAAACTAATCCAAATTCAAATATTTGAGTCGTAAGAGAATGAAATGTGATCATTGATTGCATGTCCGCAATACGTTTATAAAAAGAACGAGTATATTATGTCGTCCAACACAATAAAATTAAATTACGGCCTACAAAAACTGGCTCGCGAAGGGTTAATACCTCAACGGGCGACCTTTAATTACGTCAGTATTACAAGGGTTACACGATAATGATTCTGTCTGACATTTGCAGTTACTTTACTTTTTTTACCGGCAAGACGCAAAGCCATCAGGCCGTTGAATCTAGTATTTTCAACTTTTCTTTTTCATTATAGGATAATGAAATGTTTGCGTTTGCGTGTATAAATTTTATGTAGGTATATCTTTTATATGTGCGGTATATAATATATATCTTATATGACGTCTACACAAGTATGTAGGTATAGTATGTCGGCCGTTCATTGGTGCATTTTGAATTGAATTCGATAAACGACGTCCCACACGTACTTATGCAGCCGAATCACATAGTTATCTATTATTTTTTATCATATCGACTTGGGGATCTGATAACTTAGGGTCCCATCTGATTCTGAAAAAACGGGTGTATATAAATACGGCTTGCCGCGAAATACACCCGTATTTCGCGAGCATGGGTAGGTAATTATTGCTTAGTCGTTCTGGAATTAACATGTTATTTTATACAACTTGTGACGTTTCAATCACTGTGTCTTTTCACACTTTGATATCATCTATTTGATACTTATCTGTGGCCAGCGGATGTCACGTCAGAGAATAAGCTCCGATGACATGTAATTAATTGAAATTGGAACGCATCTACGCGTAAGTGCTTCAAGTGTATAATTATTAATTTTTAATAATTAATTTTTATGTAGTATGGAAAATTGGAAATAGGCAATCCGGCCATCTTGACGTAGCGATTCAGAATTCTGTATTAAAATAAGTAGTAGGTTTACTGTGACTGCATCTCACTAAAAATTATGTTCAAAAGTTGCTTTAAGTATAGAGTTTTTAGGTTTGTTATTTTTCTGTGCTCTATGGTCAACTAATGCACTATACGCTGATGAAGTACAGTGCTGTCTATACTAATAAATTGAAATTATGAAGATGGGATTATGGTCATAAGGTTGGCAACGAGTAAGAAACAGCGTTGGTCTAGTAGGTACTCTTTAAAAACTTTAAGTAACTATATAACTAATTCATTAAACTTATTTTAAACATTTAAACACAAACGATAAAGACGTCGGTCATGCTCACGCAGTTATTTGGAGATAATTTGTCTTAACGTCTGCTTCTGGGCGCGACAGCTCGTCGGTGGCGCATGTTCATATAAAGCGGTTGTTAGCCGATGCACAAAAACACCTCACATCAGAACCACTCTCACTTACGCAGAATACAGATGGTATAGACGTGACTGACGACAGACAAACACTCTCTCCTGTGTCTCCAAAGAGGTACAAATTTTAATGTTCAGCTCGTATAAAAAATAAAAACATTTTCGAAAATTTATTTTTGGTCCCACTAAATAACATGTACGAAAATATTTTTATTTCATAATATCAGATAGGCCTATTGTCGTTAATGCGCACTTGAAAATGAAAGGGAAGAAAAACAGGGATATGTTATATATATATATGTAGGTACAATAGCTAGAACAGGGCCTCAATTCTGCTATTTTTTGTTAACGCCAAGCTACTGTCATTCATTCTATTGAGATGCCATTGAGACGCCACTGACATCGGTCAAAATATCAGTATTCTACTCTACTACTAACATAAATTCACAGTGTCAATAGACTGTCGATATATATAGGTATGTATATAGTAATATAGGTCATCAATGATGATATCAAGAACATTGCCATACTTGGAAAATTTAATATTTCATTTTCTTATTTTTTTTTATTCTAATTTAAAATGTACCGTTTACCTAACTATTACAAATACATCGACGACATTTGTAATAGTGGCAGTTCAGTGACAAGTCATCGGGAGGCCATTGGTCTTACATAGTTAGTAGAATACGAAAAGATCAAAACTATTCCATAGACAGTCTATTGATACAATGTTAAAATAGCAGAATTGAGGCCCTGGTCAGTATAGCATCCCTGTATTCCGAATATTATATATATATATATATATATTATATATTATTCCGTATATTATTATTAGATTGGTCAGATTACAATAACTAGTTATTGTAATCTGACCATTCTAATAATAATTCTTTATTAAGTCATTGAAGAATCGTAATACGTACTTAAGCGAGCCTAATCGTAATAATTAAGCTCGTATAGTTAGCAGGACTATTAGTTTTTATAAAGCTTATACTTACAATAAAACACATAAAATTACAAACAATCTCAGCAATTAACAAACTCAATAAAATCCGTAAAACTTTATTACGAAATAAATCGTACGAGAAGAATGATTTAAAACGCATTTGCGCTATAATTTTTACAACTTTATTTACAGACAATAAAATTAAAGTTATAGTTTATGGTTGTGAATTCTATATTCTTCGTTGCTCTATGGAGGTTCGGACGCCATATAATGGCCGATTTTTATGTTTAAAAAAAGTAAATAACGAACACGGGCAACGCGTCCTTCTGCCAAGGACGACGGGTCGGCCAAGCCCTTTTGTTGGCATTACGTGAGCTGGAGATTGTCTTTCTTTTAAATTTAATATAATTTGTTTACAAAAAGTTTCGTATGACGCATAATGTACAAATATTTTTACATAAAACACAGATATATCTAACAATAAATTATAGGTTTCTACAATTATTATAGGTACCTACTGTTTTTATTGTATTTAACTATAACAAAAAAAAATCTTATCATATGTAAAAAATAATATATACTCGTATAATATCAATAAGGTATTAGCTTAATTGAAAGTAATCATTGTTTATATAATTTCAGTAATATTTAGAAGATTTTTTTTGTTTGTCATAATACGTCAATGTGGGGTTCTACTAGTCCTATGCTTTATTTTTGGGAAAGTAACGTGTACGTGTATACCTAATTAGTCAGAATAAAGTTTCAAATTAACATTTATGATTAAAACATGCAGTGAAATATTGGAAATTGGTTGATTAATTAAACTATTAATGTAAGGGTACGTTCACATTTCGCGTGAACAACGCCGGCTATCTAAACATAATCTAACGTACCTTCTGTCTTTTCATTACGCAACAAATAAATTTCAAATGACACTTGATATGAATTATTGGAGTTCAAATGTCCGATATCCCAGTTGTTACGACTTTAAAGTTTATAGGTGCTTTTGATATCAAACCTATTCTTGTCATGCACGGGCTTAGGTCACGATAAATATTGCGTTATAAGTTTTTTCTGTCTATACATTTATTTATACTCGTATCGTTTCAAAATGACGCAACAACTTTTTTCATGGCTTACTAGATTTTGTTTACGACTTCACCTGCGTTTAGGTCTGTGTGGGTAATTCATATTTACGGGTTAAAAAGTAGCTTATGTGTTACTTCAATCTCTTCTTTAATATTCTGGCTGTCTGTCTGTGTGCCTAATTTCATCTAGATCCATCTAGATTCAGCAGTTCTGCCTTGATTGGATTACAAATCTTAATCCATACTTTCACATTGTTTTTTTTTTATAGAAATATAAACCTTATATTTGACTGCACAGATGGCGTAGTGGTTTAAGCGGTCGCTACGCCGCTTACTACTACGCTGAGTGCTATGGGTCCGATCCCTACATGGGACTACACTTGTGTGTGTGTGATCTACAAATTGTTGTTCTGAGTCTGGGTGTTCTTTGTGTCCGTTTCATGTATGTTTGTATGCGGGAGTTGTCTTTTTGAACAAAATAAAAAAAATATTTACTAAAACAAGAATAACTTACGAAATATTCCAATTGTACAGTTAGAGCGAGTTTTGAAAATAATTGATGTATTTTATTACATTTGTAACTATGTAATTCGTAGTCATTTTGCAGTTGATCTAGCATTCACCATTACACAACTTTGATGAGCGTCGCAATCCTGCAATCATCGCGCACTGGTATTATATCAAAATAATGCAGTCTTAAATAAGCGTGGGAAGTGAAACAAAATATACAGTATATTTTTTTTATTAAAAAAAATCTAATTGAGTCTTCTGTCACGGCAATTGTTGTGCAAATCTGATCAAAAAGAAGTAAATGAATTCATAGACAATGTGTTATTGTAACATTGGTACATCTATACATATAAAATTGTATTCTTAATCCGTGTGGTGACGGATTAAGAATACAAATTGTCACCACCCCAATTCATCCCGTGGGTGTCGTAAGAGCCAACTAAGGGAGCAAACTAAGCAGGACAACAGCACTGCAAAGAGAAGGAAAACTTGAAACAAACCCTATACCAACCCGTCTGGCCAGCGTGGTATAGTAGGCCAAAACCTCCTTTCTAAGGAGAGGCCTATGTCCAGCAGTGGACTAGTATAGGCTGTTGATGATGATGATGACATATAAAATTACTTCCCCTGACTGACTGATTCATCAACGAAGAGCCTAAAGCATGGGGCTACAAACTTGAAATTTTAGGAACATGCTTTTTATTAATCCCCGACAAAAACGACGGGGTATTACTCGTATAAGTTTGACCTGTCAGTATGTGTCTGTGGCATCGTAGCTCCCTTACGGATGAACATTTAGATATTTTTTTGTTTGAAAGGTGAATTAGTCGGGAGTGTTATTAACTATGTTTGATAAAAATCAGTCCAAGATGGACAAAATGGCAGATTACATATTTTTCACAACTCCCTCAATATGGGTATCAAATGAAAGGGCTTGACTAGTAAAATACTATACACTATGACAAATTAAAAATCCAAGATGTGTGTCTTGGATTTTTAAATTTTTAATTTACTACGCCATATGTGCAGTAAATCAATTTATCAGCCTGGTTGTCTCGTTAACACCTTTTTTCAGCTTGATTTTAGGGTACTTATTACAAACAAAATGTTTTTGAAACGCGTTAAAAGGATTCAAGTTAGTAAGTATATATAAGTAAGTAGGTATATCAAGGTGATGTGTTTTAAGAAGACCACTGTATTCTGTACATATCTGATAAGAAGATTCTAATATTAATCTGTGCTGCCGCGGTACCGAAAGGGAGCTCTAGAGAAGAGAGGGGATTAACTAAAAGTCTTTTGTATAGTAGGCCATAACGTCCTATCTGAGGAGCGGCCTATGTCCGGCGGTGGACTATTAAAGGCTATTGATGAGTATAGTGTTGTTTATTAGAA